TATGGGGATGGTTAAAGCCTAAGCAAGCATGGTTTATGCAACTCAACCAACACTAGACAATGCTGTTGAACACCAAAGTCCATGTTAGATTGTAGCACCTCATCTGCTTTTCCATAGCAGACTGTTTCCTTCTACATCTGTCTTCTTTTCAACATGAGGTCTTAAGTAGATCAAAAGCATTTGTTCTTCCTTGTCTTCTTCCTTCTTTCTTCTACTCAAATGTGCTGTTTAAGCAGATGGACAGTCTTAAGGATACCTCAGCTATATCCACTGGTAAACAAAACTGACAAGTGTTTAGAAAATTAAAAAGTAGAAGGGGCAAAAAAACCCCAGATAATTTCTTTAGCAGTGTTTCAAAATATTATTTGATATTTGCTTTAGAGAAATACATAAATTCTCTGCGCAGGGAATTATAGAGCTGTAAGACACATAACTTGGATTATAAACACTATGCTTCAATAGCAATTGGCAAATCTCACTGATACAAGTCCTGCCAGCAAATACCATAATCACAATAATGGAGTGACCTCTATACAGTATCTTTCCATCCAACAACCTCACAAAAAAAAACTCCTGAGACAGTAAAAAGGAAGCCTGACCAAAGACTAGTCTAAAACTGCACAAGTAAAGCTAAGGGTCTATAATATAACCTAGTTTTCAGGTGCTAAATCAAAACCAAGACAACTGAATTAGCAACACAACAAATCCACCCCTTCTTGCTTCTAGAATCCCATGCTACAGGAGGAAAAAGTTCTGTGCTAGCATTTATTTCTAAAAAACCACAGAAGTGTAGTGCAGATAAGCTGTGACTGGTTTAGCTTTGCTGAATGTTTAATAACAGTTTTTGCTTCCTCCTCATAAAAGAAAAAGTTAGAAATATCAGAAGAATGAACACTAAGTCATTAGCAATGCCTTTTCTGCCCCCAGCACGTTTTACAATGACCAAGGAGGAAATGCTTTGGACCTGAACAGCCTCAAGCCAGAAGCAATCACTACAAAACAACAAGCACACATAACAGCTTGATCCATCAAAATGCATTCAAGGCTGGACCAAAACCCATTAATTCCACAGAACCAGAAACCTACCAATGTCAACATATGGTAATATAACTACTTGCTTCAGAAGTCAATGTCTTCTATGTCTGACTATACATGCTCAGTTCCACTTTTCAGAGAGAAAGTACTATAAGTGGCACACATACTGAACTCTCTTTCCAGACAAAAATCTGGGTCACAAGATTTGAAAGCTCCCAGTTTGCCCACTTCCTGTTTTTCACAGGAGGCATTACTTGTCTGTACCATGAGAGTCTCTTCCTCCAGGGTGTATCTCAAAGGGAACATTCCAGTAGGTTTGCAGGCATATCTAAACTATAGTGCAAGTCAAGCTGCCAAGAAACCAAAACCAGTTTTAGAACCAGTAAAGCCATCGTCAGCTGTAGTGTTTTCAGAATACGAACAAGTACCCATGGTACAGCCCTTCACTGATAGCAGCTGGTCCACACATTTCTGGGTGGCTCAGACTCACAAAAGAGCTTTGTGTTCTCACAGTATGGTATGCAAGATTTGTTCAGAATGCTGCCTACCTTCACCCTGTAAGAGCAGATACAAAAATAGGTTTGGCTTTTCTGGTTTCCCTTTACCTATTTTTAAGATGATGCAGTCCATGACTTTTAATCATCATTGCTGTTTTGCAATATCTGGATGTTGTTGATTCACACTCCACTCTCTCCCCAGACAAAGGTAGTCTTTGGTGTGAAGAACTGTAGCACAGCCCTCAGCCTTCACCTTTGGATACAGACACTCCTGAAAGCAACACAGGTTGCTTGTACAGAAAGAATGTTTTTAAAACACATGAAAAGCCAGGAGGACGTTATATTAATATTCACTTTCAGGTAAGTCAACTTATAAGGCAGGTTGCACTGTTACAACTTTTAGTTACCAACAGGAAACTGTCTGATGCTGCTTTTCTTCCTTCTGTTTTTTTTTCAATCTTACAATTAGACAGAAGACACTAGAAACAGTGCTTGACCATTTCATTTATAATGGAGCGATAATTGCAAGTAAAGCTCACACCTCATTCCCTAAAACCAGGACTTTATTCCATCACCTTTTCAGTAAGTGTTGACTCAAAAGCTTAGGAACACGAAGGAAACAGACTAATCCAAACACTTTATTTAAGTAATAGTTGTCCAAGACACTGTAACAACAGATTCTAGCAACAGAGACAGGCATTGATTTAGAAAATAGTTCTTGCAAGACATTTTCTTTTTTTTCCCTGTCCTCCACACTGTAAACAATATTAAGCTTAATTTCAAGAAATGTTTGAAATTTGGATTACTTCAAGCAATAGTTACTGAGTAACTAATTCACTCTACAGGACAAAGAGATTAAATCCCTACTTAACATTCTATCTGAACTTCCCAGATGACCTACTATAAAAAAAAAATGCTTTCTTAAGAAGAGATTTACAAGAGATATTTGAGAAATATTGGGAAAATTTCTACATTGGCATTTCCTCTAAGTAAAAATCAAAAATGGATAGCATGAGCAATAACTTATGCACTGGATGCTAAAAATCTGAACTGCCATTTTGTCAAGAGCAAGACTCTGTTGTCTGACTGCACACCTTTGAGAAGCAACTGACTCCATTTTCTCTGTACTCTCCTACTGGACATTGCTGTCTGCAACTAGAATCTTCCATGAGCCTTCTCTTCTTAAAGCTGAAGAAACCCAGTCTTCCCAATCTCTTCTCATACATTGTGTGCTCCAAAACCATCTTGGCTCTCCACTGGACTCACTCCATTACACCAACCTCTGTCTTTTCCTGTGGAGTCCAAAAAAGGACCAAAGCTGGATTACTGGACACAGCATTCCAAACACCATCTCACAAGTACTACACAAAGAAGAAGGATCATTTTCCCAGACCTGCTGGCTGCACTCTTGCTAACACAGCCCAGGATGCAGTTTGCATTCTTTGCTACAAGACTTCACTGCTGACTCATGCTCATTTCTTGTCTACCTCAATCCCAAAATCTTCTTCTGCAAAGTTGCTTTCTACTCAGTCTGCCCACACTCACCCTTAACACTAGCTGAAGTTATGCCAATCCTAGGATTTTGCATTTGCCTTTGCTAAATGTCATAGGGCTTCCATTACCCCTTTTTCTAGTCTATTAAGGTCCCTCTGAACCACAGCACTAGTATCCACTTCAGATTCTGACACAGTTGCTACACTTGCACTCAGTTCCAGCTTCATTAACAACCTATTAAAGAGAAAGCTCAGTAGATGGGTTTGTAAAAATTTACTTTAGCCAGAATTTGTAGCAAATATTTTTGTTCCGTTGAACAAAAAGGAAATTTCCAGAGGACCTTAAATAATATCAGCTTAAAAAGAAATTACCTCATTTCAAAAAGAAGAAAACACACTGCGTAATTTCTTCCTATCACCTAGCACTGGGATTTGTTTGATTTAATATATATATACACATACACAGAAATTAACTAAAGCAAAACTTCAATTTAATAATGACCCGAAACTAGAAGTTGATTTCATATACAACTACCAAAATTACTCTGTATGTATTCCTGTCCCTGTAATTGCAGCTTTTATTCAATTTTTAGTTCTCAGTTTCAGATTCTAGATGTAGACTTCTACTCGAAAGTTATGAACACTTAATTTTCTAAAAAGATAAGGTATCAGAAATTTAACATAGTTCATTTCTTCACTGCACTCCATCTTTCCTACATTTCTCCCAATAAAATTCCAAAAGTACAGGAAAGCCATCAAAATCCTGACAAGCCAGAATTAGCTTCTGGAACAATATGCATTAAAAAAATTCAGGTAAAGAGAAGTTAAATTTAAGAAAGCCATAACAAGGCAAAGTGAGAACTCATTTGTAATCTTACACAAACAGCTGTCACAAATAAGACTTTTTGGACCAGCACTCCATTTGTCTGTGGAAAGAGCACACCTACTCCAGAGTTGCACCAATAATTTAAGAATCACCTGGGTTCCATAAAATGGTTCAGGTAGTTGAATAATTCAGTATCTAATTTTTACTTATACAAATGCAGAAAGATCAACCACAATAAAGGAAAACAAGATGCAACTGCTTAACGGTATCATGAGATATTCAAGAAAAGAAACAATCATTTTGTTAAATCAGGAGTAAAATACTTTCAGAAAAATGCCAGGACAGACAACCAACCCTGCAGTCTTTCAGTACAAGCCAGATGCAAGTTTAAATGCAAGACAGACCTGAACTTGCATTAATGACTAAAATTTATTTCTATTTTAACTAGTCATAAGCTAGATCAAAAAATTCAGATAAATACTTAGCTATTGAAATACGACATTAGTCTAACTTTTCAACTTTTATGTCGACACATTTGCATTAAGGAGATGAAATGTAGTCAGCACTACCACAAATTTGGGGGTTTTTTTAGGACTGGGAAGAAGGAACAAAATGATGAAGAGTGTTTTTAAGTACTTGGAAGGAAAGGAAAAATAGCATTTTCAGCTCTTTGGAACCTGCATCATCCCACCTCCATCCTAGTGATCATCTCTCCTGAAACAAAAGATCATTCATCTGGAGTAGTTCATCTCTGCTCCAGCATCAAACACACACTTCATCAAGTGACAACACACCACCTTTCTCTCCCCCTTGAGTTCCACCGCTTGTAGTCAGAAAAGCAAGAATTAATATCTTTCCCTTCCACTCTTATGAAAACTTTTCAATTCAGTTAGCAAGGAAAATGCCCAAAAAAAGGCACTGTATGACACCTATTAGATGTCTGCCCTGTCAAGATAATCTAACCATTCTGAAAGCACTCATCTTGTAATCGTTCTGTTTAATGCCAGGAAAACACTTTACCTCTGCACCTTCAAATCAGAAAGGGATCGGAACAGGATTTTTCAAAACTGTTATTAAGACTAAGAACATTTGATGTCAGTTTGACAGCTCTGAACATTCACCCCAGAAAAACTGAAGTCATATCATTACCTGTAATTTTGTATCCATATGCAGCCAGCTGTCCAGCCATATATTCACCATCTGAGTTATTGTGAGAACATCCCCATGTACGAATCCAGATTTTCTGAACACCAGGAATAATGCTGTTTAGGAAAAATGAATGAAAAAGGCAAGTTAAAAGATGAACAAGCTTCCCCTTTAAGCCCACTGAACAGACTCAATGAACTGTAATTCTTCAAATACAAAATATGCAACACAAACAGTAGCAACTCCAAAACAGCTGAGGAAAACCACTATTATTATGTGATTTTAGCGTAACAGGTATTAGGTCTTGCTGGGATAGAGTCAGCTTTCTTCAGAGCAACCTGTATAGTGCTGTGTTTGGTATTCGTGACCAAAGCAGGGTTGATAACACCCCTATGTTTTAGCTGTTGTTGAACTATCCTTGCTTGTTTCCCACTGTGCTCCATCTCACCGCAAGTGGGTTGGAGACGGACAACAGGTTGGGAGGAACATGAACAGAATAGCTGACCAAAAGGATAATTCATTTCAGATGACATCATGCTCAGCAATAAAAATTGTGGGTTTGATCTTTCAAAAATAGTCATTGTTCTGACACTGGCTGGGCACCAGTCTGCTTGTGGGAGGTGGTAAGTGATCGCTTTTGCATCACTTGGGGTTTTTCCCTACTCTTTCCTTCACTTTAACTGCCTTCATCTCAACCCACAAGTTTTCTCACTTTCACTCTTCCAATCCTCTCCCTTGTGGTGAAGTCAATCCACAAACAGCTGGAAAACAGTTTGAAAAGAGTTTTAGAATGGAGACGGTACAAGAGCTGTAGGACAAGAAGAGATTCGGTGCACTGTAGTTACATTAAAGCAAAAACAAAAACTCCAACAAAAACACACAAATAAGCAAATAGCAAACAAAAAAAAACCCAAGAAAAAAAACCAACAAAACTCCAACACCCCTCAACTTTCTGAAAATTATCCTATCTTGTAACAAGCAACCTTCAAGTAATTGCACTGAAATTAGACCACCAGCAAACAAACTGTGAAGAGTTAAATTGCAACCTTTTATATTATGGCACCCACTGGTTGTAGCTCCCTCCATACAAGCCAGATTTATAAATTCTTAACTGAGGGGCCACCAGCCACACGAATATCTGAAAGCACATATCCCAATCTTTCTGGGTTACAGAAGGAGCATGACAGACATGCAGCCTGGAGATAGCACACACAGTGCCTAAAGAATCAACAAAAAGTTCTGCAAGAAGCTCTCACTGAAATTCCTGGGATAACTGCCAATGAGCTAAAGATGCCAGTACAAGAACACCACACATCCTGGTACACAATGCTTCGCCCTGCGTACATCTTTTTTTTAACTTCCCCTCCACGCTTCTTTTTTTAAAAGATGCTTCCCTTAGCTAGAAATAGAAATTTGTTGATGGAACATTAATGATCATTAAGTGTAAACACAGTGTATCTAGACTTCCTACTGTCTAAACAACACATGCTCAACGTGCTTTCTTGGGTCAAAAACACTAAAACACAGCTTGTTAGATTCATAGTACCTGAATACTTTGGTGCATGACGTGCTAGTGTGAAGTATCTACAGAGCACCAGTTCAGCTGTACATACACTCCTGGAGCCAATGCACTTTTAGGGGCATTCAGATAAAGATGCATTGTTATGCTTACAAAATCCCTTTTGAACACTAATGAAAAAACAAAATTTAATTTCCCCACAGGAAATTAAATTCCCATACCTATTTTATTTTCATCTTTATCATACAGGGAAATTTTATCCACCAACTTGAAACTAATGGAGGAAGAAAGAGGAAAAAAAATCCAGATCTCAGAAATGCAGTAGAAATTGGTATCAATAAATGAGCTGACCTATACTCTAATCAATTCCACTGCAGCAGAAAGCTGATTCCACTCTTATGGGAATCCCAAGTAGGAAAAATGCAAAGATACATTCCATGGTTATTGCATACTATTTCCACTGAAATAAAACAGCAAGTTCAAAAGTTTGAAGTTTCACCGTTTCACTTGCAGGATGTACACACAAGAAGTACAGCCTCTGGAAATCCCAGGCTCCAGAAACCAGGATGAAAGACAAGCAAGGAATATGTAACCTTTGTTAAAGAGGACCGGGTCAGGAATACTTCAGCAAACTGGGCATGCATAAGTCCCTGGGCACTGACGAGATGCATCCACAAGAGAAATATGGATGTACGGGAGAAAGTCCAACAAAGGGTCATAAAGATCATTAAGGAACTGGAACATGTCTCATATGAGGCAAGGCTGAGAGTGCTGGGACTATTCTGCCTGGAGAAGGCCCAGAGAGATCTCATCAAAGTATATAAATACCCAAAGGAAGAGTGCAAAGAAGACAGAGCCAGATTCTTTTCAGTGGTGCACAATGACAGGACCAGAGGCAACACGCACAAACTGAAACACAGGCAGCTCCCTCTGAACATCTGGAAACGCCTTTCTCACTTTAAAAATGACGAGCAACTGGCACAAGTTAAGCAGGGAGGTTGCAGAATCTCCATCCCTGGAGATATTCAGAAACTATCTAGTCCAAAAAGCAGCCCTGACCAACCGGCTCTTGGTGGCCCTGCTCGGGCAGGGGGTTTGGACAAGACAATCTTCCAACCTCAACCCTATTGCAGCTCCTAGGATTTTGTTCTTATTTCTCATTAGAGATGCCAAAAGGCTACTCCAGGACTGCTATTTGAAGAGCTCAGATTCTATTTAGGTAATTAAGATGAAGCAGACAGTTTTTCAGAAATTTTTTTACATATAAAAGTGTAACAGAAACCATTTTTCCAGTCTGATTATTCCATTCGTCAACATCTCAGTGATTACTGATTTCTACAGAAAATTTACTCAGGAAAATAAATTTGCTTAGGACTTATTACTTATTCTCCCTACATTTTATGAAGACTATTTTACTCATTTTTATCCTGTGTTCAGATTTATGAGATAATGAGAACTTCCACCTTATTTTTAGAAGCTGACAGTGTATACAAGCTGCAAGAAAAGTAACAAGTCGATGTAAGACTTTACCTGTCACTTGGGGGATCATCTTCTGTCTGAACCTTTTTTTGTGAATTGCGTTTTCGCACTTTTGGAAAAACATTCCTTCTCACAAACTGTCGGTCGTGTGGTTTCACATCTTCTGCTGACACAATGTCTTCAATATCCTCAAGCACCGAATCACAGGCAGCAGGCATCTTCAAGAAGTGTTAGAGAAGGCAGGCATTAGCAAGCATTTGAATACAAATCCAAGGCCCAGGATCTACTGTACATGTTCTCACAAATAAAAGTCAGATATATTTCTCATATACATGCAATATATCATACACATGAGGGACTGAGCACATAAAAACCGATATCTATGGAGAGGTACTTTCTGATGCCCTCTTCCCCTGATATCTCAAACACAGGCAGGGAGAGTCACAAATGCCATACAGACTTTTAGGGGCATCAAGCACAGACAAAGACAAAGCCACAAGCCATATAGACTTTTAGAGCCTTTTTAAAATAATCTGTACCTTGTCATCTTCTAGTTCAAAAACCCTTCAGCTCCTCTGACACAACATATCCAAGACACAAGTACTTTTAATCATGTCTGCATCATAATAAAATAACGACTTCATGTTATGTGACAGATGTGCTTCCGCTCACATCACAGAAGAATGAAAGACACAGAACTGAAGCTCCTGCTTCAGAGGCTGTTGTGGCTCTTTTATTTCTCTGCTGAAAACAGGTGCATGGTATTTCTTCAAGACAATATGTCTTCACAGTCTTTTTGAAAACAACCAGACTGTTTCTAGAATTCCTGATCCCACGGGCCTTTCATCTGAACTACCTCATTCATCAGGACAGCAAAATATTTCTATCTTCAGGTACCAGACGTGAAACCCAACTAATATAAAATAAACAGTTTATAATATGGCTAGTATAATATACTAAAAGATCACTAGAATCTAATTATATTTTCCACAAGGAAGTAAATAAATATGCATATATATCCTCCCAGCAGATGTCAAGATCCAGATTAGTTTTCAGGAACTGAAAAAAAAAAGTTATTTGCTAAAAGAGCCTATAAAAAGTTATTGCATTAAACACACATCTCACACTGTGCTGTGTGTAACTAACTCTTAATTAGAATATAGTCTGATGTACCATTGGAAACCTGGGGTTTTATGTCTCTCAACATTTTACAAAGGAAATCACGCAAGGGCATTTCACAGAGTTTACAGGGAAAATACACCACTTTCCTGTCTCACAGAGAAGAACAAAACAACCAAGGCTTTAATTTCTTTAAAACCAGATTTCAGGAACAGAAGATTCACTACTGGCATAAAGATACTTCCAGATGTTGCAAATTAATTACTGTAGAACATAAGAAGTTAAACACCTGTGCATTTTCCCAGCATGTGTCCTTCAGTCAATCTTTCAAAATATACTTCAAAATAAAACTTCATGTAACCTGAACCAAAACATCTGTGTTTAACTTAAAAAGGAGTAGAATGATGCCACAAAGAGGATGCATGTGCCACAGCTATTTAAGCATTCATCTTGATTAAAACCCCAGGATCTATAAAATAATGCAGCAAAGGATCAACAAAAATAAACTGCCGTGAAAAGTCCAGCAATAAAGGGTATGAGGGGGAGGTGACATCTCTTACACTACTTCATACCAGTGACAGGATGTACAAATAGGTAATGTTATCAACTGAGTACATGGGAGGGAAAAAAAAGTTTTGATTTGTTGTTCTTTTCTCTCTTCCAGAAAAATATCCAATATAATGGAGCAGCTAGCAAAGTAAATAAGCTTAGCTTATTCCAGTGGCCCATGAAAGAAAGAATATAGCCAAATTAAAATTCCTACCTTTTTAAGCGAGGTCTAAATCCTCTTGGATAGGAATCCTGGTGGTGGGGGGGGGAACAAAAAAAAAAAAGGAAAAAAGACATGGCATGAAGGAGCAAAACTAGAAGACAGAAAACCATGAGTTCACATCATTGTCCAAGAAGCATTCGTCCTCCCTTTGCAGAAATATGTCTCTTGCTCAATATGACCTCATCTGACTGGGTACACGCAGACTGGCTGACAAGGTGGAACAAGGAGCCATGCTTTCCCTATCCCCTGAGCAGAGGTACTGTTCTTTTTGTCCTTCTTTTATACAGCCATTTTTGTTAAAGTCAGACATATTTACATTATCTCAGACCTCCTCCAGATTTCCATCTTCAATCAGGAGTTTAAAATTTTCAATGAAAGAAGGGAAAGAGATTAACAGTAAATTTCAGGTAAAGCTACCCACAACTTTTTTTTTTCAATTACAAACATTGTGAAGTTATTTTAAAACAGATAACTCGATGTCTGCACTAGTTAAATACACATGAAAGAAGCAAATAAATAACTACAGATTCCGGCAGCTATTCTGACAGATTGACTGAAATCAGAGGCAAAAACAAAACTAGAAGTTAGTGTATTCTTCTCATAGTACCAAGCTGCACCTACAGAACTTCTCATTTCTCTTTAACAATATGAATGTTAGGAAAAAAAAAAAAACAAAAACAAAAACATAATAAAAACGGTTTTAACGCCTTGACACAAACGGAACTCCCCTTGCACCAGCTTATTTCAGTCACCCCTGCTCAACCTCCTGGCACATACCACGGGAGGGCTTTCCACAGAGAACAGTTTCATGCATGTGCAAGGCGACCGCTCTTTTCCCTCTATTTACCCACAGATGTCTCCGGTAAAGCCCGGGGATGAAATCCCGGGGCAGAAGAAAGCAGTAGCGTTAATACACAGCGAGACCAACTACTATATATATGTATGCGTACATGTATACGTGTGTATATGTGTGTGCGTATATACATATATACAAATACAGCCACCCAGACGGGCCCACCCCAAGCTCCCAGGGAAAGGCTGGGCAAGGGGCAACCCAGGGGCGAGGGGTGGGCGCCTAGGAAAGGAAAGGGAGAGGGAGAGGGAGAAGGAGGAGAGGGAAAGGATAGAGGCCCCGTCGGCTCCGGCCCCGCCCTCACCCGCTCTCTCCCGGATCTCCGCCATCGCCCCCGCCCCCGCTGCCCGGCCGCGCGCAGCGGCGCCACGACGGCGCCGGCGGCGGCCAGCAACAGCGCGGCGGGCGAGGCGCCGCCGCTTCGCCACAAGGCAGCGCCGTCCCTCAGCGGGACAATCGGAGCGCCTCCCGAATGCCTGGAGGCACCCACCTCTGCTTTAACTGGGAAAGTAGCATCGCGTTTCCAGTTAAACCAGTTGGGATTCTGATGTATCTGATCCGGATGAGTGATGAGCCGCAAGGCTTTTTTTTTTTTTTTTTTAATTTTAATTTTAATCGTTAATTTCCTCAAAATACAATGCTAGTAGCTACTCTTCTGAATAGTCTGAAATATATTGATATTACATATAAAAATATTTAATATGAGATGGCTAAAATTTCTGGCTTTGTTTTCCTCTAATTTCAGGCTAGTAACAACTTTTCTTATTGATATTTAGGAAGCAGACAGATTATTAAGAGTATAGTGTCCTTGGTGATCAAAGTGCTATAGCGTGTGAGCATAGTATTATTTCCTCATTACTAATATACACAGCTAGCCTAAAAAGATTGTTTACATTGTATCTTTAACACACTTATTTTATTTTCAGAGAGTCAGCTTTGGAGTGTAAAAGTCACCATTTCTTGTAATTGCATTTTGAACATTAAGTTGCTCTCTTTAGAAGGAGCCTTTGGAATCATTTTATTCTCCAGACAGCAGATTATAGTATCCCTCGGACTGGAGGGAAAGTGAATGAAAGCCCTGAGTATACTCCAGAACAGGTCTATTGGTCTGCTCGCTGATAAAACTTGGCAACTTCTGCTTATGAATATCCCTTCCCCCTCCTTCTACTTAAAAAACGGTGCTTATTTTATGTCATGCTTATCTGGCAATGTTCACGGGCAAAAAAAAAAAAAAAAAGTAACAATGAGAACAAAGTAACAGGAGCATTTTGAAGAGGGGAACTGGGACAGAAAGAAATAAGCACTTTGTTTAAATTGGCCTTTAAGAACAAATCTTTCTGGGCAGGACTGAGCACTATTAATATCACTGGCTTCATGGTAGAGTCATTGTTACAGCTTAAGATATATTTGCCTTTGAGACTGGTCTTTGTCTAAGCACACAAGTACTTTTCAGAGATACTCTCAGCGAGACACAGTGTGATGTGTAATTTGTTATTTTTGTGGCACTTTTAGCCCAGAAGAGAATGGAGGAAAACATTTCGAAGTCGGTGGTCAGGTTGATCTATTTCAGACATAGTCCTACACAGTATGGTGTAAGAAGTCCTTACTATGTCAGTAAGTAATGATATCTATATAACCAATCAGTGTCCTACTGAGGTGAGCAATTCTCTTTGTTTTTTTTCTTTTCAGCTTCCCATATTCAGTTTTCTAAGTGTTTCACATGCAGTCCTTGAATTCAACTTCTCTATTCTGGGAGCATGGCACTGCACTACCTCACAGTTGTCCTGACTAGCCAAGTGTTACCCCTCTGATTAAATGAAACAGGGCAAACACCAGTGCTGGTTTATGGTTGACTAAAAGAGCAAAGCACAGATGGCCCGCGAGACATAACCAAAAATCTCCAAATGGCCAAGATTGACAAACACTGCTCATTAAGGTTAGGCAGCGATCTCCAAGAGCAGCTCCCAGGCAGGAATAACCCATGAGTCCCATACCTAGTGACATAATTAGGCCACGCTGCTCAGTTTCAGCACGATCCAGCAGAGGCTTTACTTTGTCCCACTGCCAAGAATTCATAATATCAAGCAGTTCTTGTGCCAGCACAGTTCTGTTCAGTCCTAGGATGTAACCACAACGTGGAAGGCACCCTTCCAGTGCTTTTGAAGCTCACAAATCTAAATTATTTTGTAGCATATTCATAGTAACAAATAAAGCTGCATGCAGGCTGCAGGTAGCACAGCAGGTAGAAAAGAAAGCAGATGATTTCCTACTACCTCCTGATCACAGGAAGAAAGTTTATCTATACCTACCTGGGAAAACTGCTTTTTAAGTGACAGTGGCTGGCAGTGCAACTCCCAGTAGTGGCCTTCATGCTCCAGTGCTCTGAATGTCCAAGGAACAGCTTCAGAATACATCCTTTCCAAGCTGCCTGCATACCTTACTTCCTGCTCTTCAGGGGTGGTAGAATCAAAGACACCAGCCTTGGGCTGGGGTACCATCTTAAGTCATTACAGGTTTTGCAAGAGTAGGTAGTTGGAAAATATAAAAACTACTAGGAAAATAAAATCCAAATCTAAAATTTAGCTCATGGTTAGTAGGAGATGCATTGTTAGCTGTTTTAGAGTAGCTCAACTACAATCTTAAGGGAAGGGAAACAGCCAGGGAGGTGAGGGTTCAATTTTTATATGGCAGCCTTATTCTCTGATAACTAACATGTAGTTCTGGATAGAAATAAGTGGGAAGGTATTGAGGAAAAAATGGAGAGTCCTAAAATAGACACAAGAAATCAGATTTTTTTTTTCCTCTATTCTTGGAATTTAGGAGAATCTGGCTCACTGTTTGTGAGCAACATTCAGCACCACTCAGAATTGGTAACAATCCAGCCTGTTATATGTGAAACTTTCTTCCTGTCAAGTTTTCGAAAGAAAATAGTGGGTTAAGAAACTCCCAGACTTAATAAAGGCAAAGCATTCTGCTGATCATTGCTTAGCTATAGCATAATATCCCAACAGATTTTGCTTCAGCAAGAAAAGCAGAACGGGGAGATGGATTCTACTTGTTTATGCTTTTGTTAGTATCACTCCATTGACTTTGCTATGCAGGCTCTTGGTTCACTTAATCTTGAAAATTGTGGGATCCAGGAACACTAATGGCATTGTGCATTAACTGAGTTACATACAGGGGAAAAGAAAAAGACATATACTGCTAAATTTGATGTTTCTGAACATGTAGCAATATCTCACGCTACAAAAGGTACCTTACATGTCTACTTTCTTTCTACAACAAAATTGTTCATATATGCTTCAAGATCATGATGTAATTTACTCTTTCAGGTGTAAGTCAGAAAGAAGAGAAAGTGATGGTGTCTTGTCACTTGTAGGTGGGTAAATTCTTACTGTAGGTTCAAGAGCATGAACCCCCTTTTTTTTTTAACTCTTTTCCTGTGTGTAAAGGAGGAAACAGTTGCCTGTCATTCAGACCAGTTTTGACAGATTTCTCCGAAACCTTTTCCGTCTGCTGGCAGCTGAGGAATTCAGCACAGAGGCCCCAATAAAACCTCCCTGAAACAAATACTTGTACACTGAATAATGTTAAGGTACACCTCAATTCAGGTCAGAGGAGCAGAATTTTAATTTAATTGGCTGGTTTTTTAGCCTGTACCTCAGCATATCCTAACTTTGCAAAGCAGATATAAAAAGCAAAAGAGAGAGAAAACGACACAAAAACTGGCAATTCGTAGCAGATTCTGGGGGCAAATAAGAAAGTGCTTCTGGCAGCTGTAGAACAGAGAAACTGAGAACAGGCCGGGGAGCTATGGCAGATAGGACAGATAGAGATTGTAATTTCTGCTTCAAAGGGAGATCAGAGAACACAGTCCTCTAGCCCTCCTTTATTATTTATTAGGAATATACACAGGATCTTTGCAATCTTCCTTTCAGTACTTTCTCCTACATGCAGAAGTTAGAATATGTACAGGTGCATAGCGAGAAAATAGTAGCTTCTCCTAGTGTGCAGAAATTGACAAGACACATAAGGCTCGCTCAGAAGTGCAACATTTAAGCAATCAACCATTACTTTGATTTTATGGATGGCCATGTATCTAGAAAGGTGCAGCACCAAGACCAGAAAGGATGTATGAGCTTGTAAATGTATGTCTGGTGCAAGAGATTGTTGGTGGTGAC